TTTTAAAAGAGTCATATAAACACCTCTTGCAGGCGTGCATGTGTGCGAGCGTGTGCGCATGTGCTTGTGCACATACACACATTCACACTACAGATCAAATTCAGGGCTTCTCACATGCTAATCACACATACTTCTACTTCTACCAGGCACTAAACCCTCCCTATCCCCTTATCATTCTTAATACTGACAATCTATTCAACATAGAAAACCTCAGTGATTTTTTTTTCAAAAGGTAAATAAAATCAATATGCTCCCTTGTTTAAACACGAAACAAACGCAAGCTCCTAACTTGGACTTACTTGGCCCCAAGGGATCTGATTTTAATTTCCTTCCAGTTGGGAGCCTCCCAAAACTTTGAACTTCCTCATCTCCTACTCTTGTTTCTTTGAGACCCCTAAACCTGGATGGTTTGGTCCTGGCTGGTCCCTCTGCCAGAATGGTTGCTCTTAGGACAGCCACTTGATTTTTATGCTCCAGTTTTGAGACATGCTATGCCTTCACATAGGAACCTTCCTGCCATCCATTCCCAAACAGCAGCTCTGCCATCTCGAACCTGAGCATTCCTCTCCCATTCTTCCTAGCTACTTCCTTCAGATCATTTCTAAAAATCAAGTCAGTTTGTTGTTTTTGCTCATTGTGAAAATCCCAGAATCTACCACGGTGCTTGGTATAATGACAGAAAAACCTGAGACTCATTGAATGGACAAATAAAATGCAGAAAAGTTCAACGAAGAATTGTTTTTTGTAAGGTTTGGCTTATTTGATCTTTTAAGATTTATTAATCCGATTGTAACTGTGGAAGCCAAGGCTCATACACTTGAAGTTATGTGTCCAGGATCATCAAGTGACAATGCTATTTTAATCCCTCTACCAGTCCCTCCTTATTCTCCACCAATCAACAGAAGGCAGAACAGGCTGACTGAAAGTATCTATGGCATGGGTTCTTGAGACTTCAGTGACCCACTGTGTGAGGTTATGTGCCTGACACACTTCAAACCCACTTTCCTTAAGTGTTTCTAGGAGGGCTGAATTCACTGGAACATGTCATGTAGATGCAGTAATTCAGTGGGTGTCTCTTTGCATGTGACACATTTTAAATGTTTCTCAATTAAATCAATACAAATGGAAACTTTCAACTGAAACGTAAAAGAGTAACCTAAGAATGGGGCCAATCAGATAAACCTAGAGGTAAGTGCCAATGTATGGAAATATATATAGAGAAATTGTATTCTAGGGCATATGATCCATAATTCGGGCCTTATACTTTCTAGTAGCCAACAGAAAGCGAGAAATGATCAGTCACAAGACATGTTTCAAAAACTACATTGATTCTATCAATTGTGAGAAAGAATACAACTATTTGTTTCCACCTCCTGAGACAGATTCCTCTCTGAGACTTTATAACAAAAGCACAGTATTAGATTGTAATGAACATTCTAAATTACAGTCCCATAAATCAATACACCAAGCTCCATACAACGAAGTGTTACAGCATGAATAAATAGACATGGCTGGAGAGATAGCCAAACCCGAACAGAATCATATTATAATCTAAATTGTGATCTATGAATCAGCCACATCAGTTCCACCTGGGGACTTGTTAGATATGCCAACTCTCAGACTGTATTCCAAGGCTGAATCAGAATTTTTCCCTATATTTTACTATATAATATTTGTGACAAATTTCCTGTATTTTGCTGACAAGATCTTCAGGTGATTCTCACACATAATACATTTTTTTTTGAAGATAAATTTGTAAAAACCTATAATTTATTCAATTCATTCATTCATTCAAGACATATTTACTGAGCATCCAGAAGTAAGAAATGCTTTCTTTAAAAACAGCATGGGAAATACTGGCATAAGGAAAAATATTGATCAACAAGATGCCATTTTAAAGGGAAGTTGGCAATGCAAGCCATGTAGTTCACAGACAAAAATGTGCAACAATCTAGAAGAAAAGTTGTGTATATACGTGCAGGCCACTATGTTAATGTTGATGCTACAGCAAGAGAAAAATATGCCCATGCTATGGAATTTATCGTCTAATTAGTGAAGACATAAATAAACAGACTGAGCAAAATCAATAAGGGAAGGAGGGCAATTCTAAATAGGGCTGGCAGGAAATGCCTCAGTAAGGAGATAAAGGCCTATCCAAGGTCATGAAGCCAGCTATAAAAATATCTGGAGGAAGTGTTCCAGGCAGGGAGAACAGAGAGTACAAAAACCCCGAGACAAGACAATGTCTAAAACAACAGAAGGCCAGTACGGCTCCTGAACATTGAGGAAGAAGCAAAGTGGACCTGGCCATGTGAGGCTTTCTCGGCCATTTTAAGTGTCACAGTTTTAAGTATGCAATGGGAAGCCACTGGAGAGAAGGCAACAGGGAGCCCCTAAAGGATGCTGAGCAGGAAAATGACGTAATGAAAAGTGTCTTTAAGAAGCTAGCTTTTTACAAAGGTGGATGAGTAAGTGGCTTAGTGGGAAAGAAAAAAAAAACCACCCTGGCTCAGAGTGATTCATTCATTCCATTACTTATTGCGTGGCACAGATGTGTCAAATAATGTGAGAAGGATCTAAACTAGGGTGATAACTATGGGAAATGACAGAGGAAGGTGAATGTAAATGACATTGAGTGAAATAAAAAAGATGCTGAGACACAATGACAGATTATTTATAGAAAAGTGACACACGAGTTGGAAATTCAATTTAATCAAGGTTCATGGATCATCTACTGAGAGAAAAGCTGTTTGCTGGCCAAGACTTAGGGAGAGAAGATGTGCCAGTCCCTGCCCTACACCTTCCAAGCCTGAATTTCTTGGATTGTTGAAACTGAGGCCAGCACTAGTAGTAAGGCATCTAACAAATTAAAAGCTGTTCCTTTCAAATCTTAGGAGCATGTTCTCTTGCTCCATCTCCTGGGAGCAGCCAGAGAACCTCAATTTGATTACAACGAAAAGATATCGTTCGACAGGAGGGCAGAAGAAAGATCTTAAATGTTTTTGTGGTGCCCGGCTACTTCTAGACTGGTTTTGGACCATCAAATTCTGTGCAGAGTCATCCTGATCTTTTGGTTGACTTTCCACTCTGCCATTCTATTATGGAGAAAAGACTAGAAGGCATGGGCAAGAAAAGAAACAGGTTTAAGGAAAGCAACTGAGGGGAAATGGAGAGGGTTTTTTGTTGTTGTTGTTGTTGTTTGTTTTGTTCTGTTTTGTTTTTTAATTGCCTACCATCGGACTGCAAGGTTTGGGAAGCGGATGCAAATGTAATGCAAATGATATGTAAATCTCTCGGTGGCCTTCTAAATGATTATATACAACTGGAAGGGCCCTTGGGAAACAGCTAGCAGATAACAATGACTCAGAAGCAGAGCAAACTATTTCAAGACAACTTTGTCACATGGCCCTTTGCTGCCCTGCTAGCTTAATGCATCCTTTAGCAATTTTTTTTCTTCACTTGAATCAACTTCACCTGCTGTAAATTAAAAAAAAAAAATCAAGTCTAACCTGTGCACTGGTTATCTCAGCTAATTATACAATTAAGGTGCTTCATATGCCTTTCCTTTTTCCTTCAAATGTCTTTCTCACCATATCAAGCCAAGTTAAATGTGTCACTTCTTCCCAAGAACAGTACATTGTTCCAGTAGATTATGAATGAAAATGCCTCCCTTTCAATTCTAGTTATTGTGATGCTTCATAGTTTTATTTATATTTTCATTCCCTCAACACCACAGGAATTGGCACAGTTTTCTTCTAATATCGACATCCTATCAAAGGCAATTCAGAAAAAAAAATGTGTGTGTGCGTGTGTGTTTGTGTGTGTGTCTGAGAGAGAGAGAGAGAGAGAGAGAGAGAGAGAGAGAGAGAGAGAGAATATGACCTGTCTTCAAGAAACCCCTGAAAAAGCTATTCATCCAAAGCTGCCTGGTCACAAATGCTGTGACCAAAGGGTCATCCTAAGTGCTGATTTTGATAGATTTAAAAAAAAAGCATTTGATCAAACTGAGTATATTTCTGTCTACACTTAGTTATTTTAAAAGACCATACTCATAGCATATAGACATGTATTATGAGTCACAGGGCGAATTCAATAGTAAATAATACAGTATACACATCAGACCAGCTTACTATTGGTTACAGGCCCAGGAGTCCAAAAGCAACTTTCCTGCACATCACTCCGTAAAGTTTCATTACTTTTTAAAGACTAATGTTCAAGGGCATTCTCGCTAGCACAGTTCAACAGAAAGAAATAACTCCCCCATCCCCCTTTGTTTTTTAAACACTCACTTTTAAGGCCACAAGGTCAACCCCTAAAAAGCTATGGGGCAAAGAGGGATCTGGAGTGATGCCACAAACTTCACTGCTAAAAAAACAGGAGTAAGGCACAAAGCCAGGTAATCCAACAAAAGAGGGAGGGAGGGAGAAAAGGAAGGAGGGAGAGAGGGAGGCAAGGAGGGAAGGAGGGAGATAGAGACACAGAGAGACAGACACAGAGAGAAACACGGAGACAGAGAGACACACAGAGGGAGACAGAGAGACAGAGACAGAGAGAGACAGAGAGAGAGAGACAGAGAGAGAGAGACAGAGAGAGAGAGACAGAGAGAGACAGAGAGAGAGAGACAGAGAGAGAGAGACAGAGAGAGAGAGAGACAGAGAGAGAGAC